CCCCCCCCACCGGAACCCAGCGTGACGTCACATGGTATGGAACACCGGGCTCTGTTTGGCCAGGTGGGGTCAGCCCCCACCCCCCGGCTGTGCCCCTTCCTGGAGTCCGGTGAAAATTAACCCTGTCCTGGCCAAACCCAGGACACGGTCACATCAGCTTCATGAAGTAGCTTGCCATGAAGTGTCCAGGTGCTGGTGCCAGCTTAAGGTAGGAAGTAGAAAAGCATGGTGAGGAAGGTGGGCTCAGGTGCTGTAGAACTGTAGCCTGAAAATAGTTCTTCATTTTCTGAATACTTTTTCGTGAACACTATTAAAATTATTGCAGTATTTCCAAAATACTTTTCATGATGTTCAATGTTTATAACTATTATATGTAATTACAGAAACTTTCTTCCAGTCCCATACCTCAGCTGGGCTATTGTCTGTTTCCAAAGACTGACTGATTCTAGCATATAGAACAGATGTTCTGTGGTGGCTAGTGCGCTGCTCTAAAATAAAAGGATTTAATTTCATTTCCAAGTTAGTTACAATAGTAACGTAACAGTACAGTAACAGCTAAGTCTTAATTGCATTCAAGCAGAATGGAAGTATTGTAGTTTCTGATAAACATTTCAGTCATAGTTGACTTAAAAACAGAAGTTAGTTTTTTAAAGAGTAAGCTGTTAGAGTTTTGATTTATTTTTTAAACATGACAACAGTGGCTTACTTTTTTTTTTTTTTTAAACACTTCATAGATGACCCATCTCAACCAAAGCCAAAGCAGGTTTCAAAACATGAGGCAACCTCTCCAAATGCACTGAGAACGTCATCTGTGATGGCTGCTGGTATGCGGAAGAGCCAGGCTGTTCCTTCACACTGCCTTACATTTAAGATGTCTTCTGGGCGATCCAAACAAATGGACTTTCCTGGGAAAAGAAAACGCACTGCCATGAGTATGGATGCAGACAGTTCAAATCAATCTGAATTATCAAATTCGGATGACCCTGAGTTCAGTAGGTCATCTACAAAATGCATAAATAGGAGATCTGACTTTGTAAAAAATATCCTTTTAAAGTCTACTTGTGGTGATGTCCTGCAACTAATGGAGGCTGCTGCTCTACCTAGACATGATTCTGCTCGTCCAGAGGAATACCTCAACTCAAGCAATGAAAATGAGAAAAATAATTGCTCCTCTGTAGGTTTGTCATCTTCATATTCCGCACACAGTCCTGGTAAAAATAACCACATTTCTGTTGTGGATACCAAAGAGAATCAACTGCAGGTGGCTAACTCATGCTTGTTCTTGGAAAAGTCCCTTCCTTTTTCTCAGGAAAAAAGTACTGTGTTGCCTTCTCTCCACCACTTAACACAAACAAAAGGTGTGGAATCTCATCTCCAGAATACTGGCTTTTCTCAGGTATTGGACGCTAAGGAGCGAGATGGGAAAAGACCAGAAAGACATGCACACAATAGAGCTTACAGTATTCAATCCAGCAACAGTTTTTCAAAAACAAAAGACAAGACTTCAGAAAATGCTTCTGATTCTTGTTCAGTGGAAGGTTCTGGGAAACCTGCATTCTCAGAGGAGACTGGTAAAATTGTTCCCCTTTCATTATCTTTTAAAGAAGGATGTATGGGTAGCCACCATATGTCTTCACAACCCTCAGATGAGTTAAAAGCTGGAAGGACCTGTACAGAGAAGTCCAAGTTGAATGGAAAAGTAAAAAGCAGTTTTGATAGTGAAGATGAGAGTTTGGGATGCAGTCTAGATAATGATGACGATGATGATGAAGAAGTAGTATTCGTGCCGCTGGAAGAAATTCTGTCTTTAAGTCCCAAGCCACAGGCAGGAACCCTGGAAGAATCTTGTCTTGACAGTTTTTCTGAGGACACCGTGACTCCATTACTGAATCTTCATGTAAGTGGCTAAAAAAAATAAACAAACCAAAAAAGTATTATGTCAGCTTTGTTATATTGTATTTTTTGTATGATTTTTTTCCTTTATTCATGATGCATGAAAACTCAGAGTTATTTGCCTGCAAAACTGATTACTCAGCTTACTGAAGGGTCCTGTGCTGTACAGTGCAGTGGGGTCACAGAAAGGGTGGTTGTTACTGTGCCTGCCCTTGGAATGGCTGGGAGATGGTTTGTGCAGCCGGATTACATTAGCTGTATGCCTTTCGGGTGGTTTTTAGGAGTTCTTATGCCTTTTCTCTTTCGTGTAGAGGACCTGTGGGATCTAATGTTTTAATTTTCCTGATCAGTTACGATTTTCATGAGCTGAAGTTAGGTAGGAGAAAATCTGTTGAGAGATCTGTGTGGTAGACTCCAGTCATATATCCTTGTTGCAGTCTGATTGTCAGAAATCTGCCTACGAGTTCTTGATCTGTGAGTGTGATGTTTTCTTTGAGGCTGAATTTTGTAGAAATTGGAAGTATTTTAGCAAGGATTTCAGAAAGCTGTATGACTTACCATCACAAGGGATGGATGAAGAAGTGTTTGAATCCCAGTTTACAGGATATTATGATATTAATTAGGAAGTTCCTGCAGTATGACTTAGTGTGGCCTGGACAGCTGACCCCAGAGGACCAAAGGGATATATTCCATGCCACATAGTGTTGTGCTCAGCAATAAAAAACAAGCAGGGGCAGCTGGTCTGGCGTGTAGCCGTTCCTCAGAGCCTAGCTGGGCATCCTTCTGCCTGTGGGAGGTGCTGAGTGATTGCCTTCGCATCACTTTTTCTTCTCCCCCTTGCTCCCCCTTCCTTCACTTATTAAACTGTCTTTATCTTGAGCCATGAGTTTTCTTGCTTTTGCTGTTCTTACCCACTCTTTTGCACCACTGGGCAGGGAGACGAACAAGCTGTGTGGTGCTTACCTGCTGACTGGGATCAGCCCACCACGTTTTTCTGCAGTAGTAAAAAAACCTGCTGTTAGCAGAATACCTGTATAAATACTCTCGTACTTGTCTCCTGTTTTTGAATCTCTGAAATGGTTTATTTGTTAACGTGGTTTCTCTTAAAGAGTATCTCTGTAGGCAGATATGAAACAGCCATAATTGTTTTATTTCTCCTTATCTATTAATTATACAAGCACGTTATAGATCAGGCTTTTGTGGTTACGTACCTATTCCACAATCTTAACCAACATGGCTACGTAGTTAAGGGTTAAGACTGGTAAACAGTTGCAGCCTAGAACAAATGTTTGTGGAACGTGATTGTGACCATAACATTTGGCCTGTCCTGTTTCTTTATAATTAATGGCCAAATAAGACAAAACAGCTAAGAACTGTCCCAAAATTTCCATGACCAAGGCTTTTGCGTATACTGGCATTCTTCCCTTGCCTTGTAAGAAGGGGCATACGTGCATGTTGGAATGAAGTCTTGATTCCTCAGTTCAAAAGTTGTTGTAGGCATGTTAACCAGATATAAGGCAAGAGGTCTTCAGCTTTCCCACAAGATTTCCCACACAAAGACATGCTGCTTGTTACATTTGAAAGATATCTCTGAGTACCAAAAATTCATGCTGTATTAACTGGCTTTATTAGCAGGTGGATACTAACTTTTAACTTCTGCTACCTTTGGGTAATAGAAAATCCCCAGTAGGAGAGTATGCTCTTACTGAATTGTGTTCTCCTAAAATGAAGGAGCTTGTAGGAGGAAGCTTTGTCACTAGTAAGAGGCTTGCAATTTAAGAAGGTGGTGTCAGAATAGCACTGCTTGTTTGAAGAACTAAACCATGGCCATAAAAGATTTCAGATCTGTGTTGTCTGCTACAAGCTGAATAGAACACTGTCTACTGAAAATCAACCTAACTTTGCTAGCGGTTAAGACATTTTTATGTATGGTTTTGTTTTTTAATTCTATTTATTAGCATCTTAATTTGGGTTTGTATTAGGATTTTGATTGGAAGCTTTGTTTTATCTGGTGAATTTGGAGGTGATTTAGCAAACTCTGGTGCTTTGCCCTCTAGGGACTACTGAAAATAAGAGGCGTACTGAATCATTTTTGGAGTTTCTTGTCTCATGCACGAGAAAGGGGATTCCCAGAATCTCAGTGGATGATAATAATAAAGCTGTGAGGTAACAGGTTTCTGGTGCTAATGCTCCTTGTGAAGGTTAGCTGGAAGTGGGCCCCGGGGAGAGATGCAGAGACTTGCTTTGCTGTTCATGTCGATTGTGAAGCACGTTTATTTCTAAATTAATCGCTGAGAGAGATTTGACCATTATATAAAATTGTTAAGGGACTGAGAAACCTAAACAATCATCTGCTTTTTAGGGTCTGCTTTGAGTCTTTATGTTCAGTTAAAATATCATTAAAATTGGAAGGTGTTTCTATTTTGATTGTTTATTGTCTAATACTGAATAAATCGATAACTTGTGATATTTTTTTAATATATTATGATTTCATTTACAGCTTTCTAAGCCTCCTGTTGTTAGCCAGGTGTCGTATGTGAACAGCTTAGAACATCTCTTGAAGGAGAAAGAAGAATCTAAAAGGTTTGTTTCTTAAAGCTACTTTGAAAAATTTGGGATGGAGTTGCAGAAGCTTAGATTTACCTCCTCTCCCCGAAACTCATGGCATTTGGGTAGCAGCAAGCTCAGCTTTGTCTGCTGATGCCACCGACATACATCTGACAGGACCTACAAGTGCAGCCTAACTGTAAAAGCTGAATGACAGGCTGCTTCCAAGCAATAATGAGTGATTTGTGATATGTCTGTCTACCCCTCAAGAGCTGGACTAAATTTACTGGTGATGCCTTCATTGTAGGTCACTGAGCCAGCTAGCAGCTGCTGGTCAGGCATGAAATAGAAGTATTTATGTAGACTGACTGTACTAGTTTCTTCAGAGGCATTTGTAGCTCAGTTTTTTTTTCCAGAGTTGTGTAGACTACTGGTATCTGAGTAGTTACACAGTTCAATGAACAGAACTAATGAGCGTTCTTGCAAGAGATCTTCCTGGTAGAAAGTGTAATGTGGTGTATGTACTAATGGCAAGTGGTGGTAGTGAGAATATGTGTGTGATTAACTGTTTTTATTAAAGATCCTGACCTTATGGGCTGGCTGACTATGGGGCAGTAAATATTTCTCTAACACTATTTCACAAATAAAATACTAGTATGAATTTTTTTAAAAAAAAAAAAAAGTAAAAAAAAAAAAAAATCCAACCAGAAGATTGAAAGTTTTAGACAATTACAAAAAATGCTGTCAGAAGTTGGTTGAGTGTATTTGTCTCTGACAAGCTAGTGATTGAATGTGCTGTTGGAAATTCATTAGGCTTTGGGAAACATCCACTTTCTGTCTTAGAATAGCATGATGCACAGGTGCAATGTCTCACATGCATCTGCCATGCGTAATTGGCTACTGACTCCTGGGTTCACATTCAGAGCTTGAATTTTGTTGTCTTCTGTTGTAAATACTGAACAGTGATGATAGGTTCTGCTGCTACTGTTATTCCAGGGTAGATGAACTAGAAAAGCGGTTACAGGAAGATATGCAAGGAGGGGAAACTGATCCTTCAGATGGAGAAGATGAGGAGAATGCCAGTGGAGATGAAGATCTCTTGGAAGAGCACAGGTCCTTACAACTCCAAAATCAATTACATCTAGTTCTTCACTTTTGTAGCCTTTTTTTCTGTTCTCTTCCCATCAGTTGTTGTTAATGTTTAATGTGAACTGTTCATAGCGTCTTTCAGGGTTGGGTGGATTTTCTTGGACATTACTGCATTTTAACAATTCAGCTTTTGCCTAAGGCTGATCTGTTTGTTCATCATCTGAAAATAACTGTCTCAACCAGCAAATAGCCTCTCAATGTTTAAATTAATGAAAGCAATTTTGAATTTTACAGGGCATTTATAAAGAGATTTTCAGTAATAGCTCATGGCATACCTGACTGCCACCCTGGAGAAGACATATTTGATTTATCAGCCTCTGGGAAAATCTTTAATCAGCATAACCTTGACTTGAGGAATTTTCATTTCATAGCTCAAAATCCCATAGAAAAGCTCCTTATCAGGTAAGAATATCCTCTTCACTCTCTTGTATTTACTAGTATGATTTTTTTCAGTGGGCTGCTTTTTTTCAGGTTGTTAACATAAATCAGTATATTTGCATGCGAATGAGCTCTGTCTTGCTAAGTAGGCAAGACTTGAGTCCCTTTTCCTGGAATTTTCCTTTCCAGGGTAGCTTTACAGAATAGTGAATTGTTACTTGAAGCTTCCTTCGTTCCTCCCCTGGAATTCTTGAAAAAAACATCATAAGACATAAGGAAAAAAAAGTGTTCTGGCCTCTTTCATATTACTGCTGTGTTGGGCTATCATTGATAATCTGACCAGTTTGTGGAAGATAAATGCAGAAGTGACATGTTATAATGAACAAAAGCTCAACTATGCCAAGACAGAAAGACAACCTTTGTGGTGAACTGATTTGCGACCTGCTAATGTCGCATTGTGTCTGCTGAAAGTGTTCTGAATGGGCCTGGGACTTAGGGTTCCACTTAATGAGGATTGCAGAAAGTCATGAGTTCTAACATCTGTTAGATTCAGTTGCTGAGCTAGCAGTGTGCCTCTGTGTGTATACACAACTGTTCTGTAACTCATAGGGATTTGTATTCTGTATTTATGAGGCTGCCAGGCTGCAAGTAGCTGGACAGATTCTTGCCTAATACCACAACTGTGAATCCTGAAAAATTCGGGTTATTTTGGTTGGCATTTTATTCCAAACTTGCATCAGTGAAACTGAGAGAATTTATTTAATCTTAAAGGATTTTTTTATACATGTGTGTGTGCTGTTGTTGGTGTGAAAAGGAGGGTGGCTTCTCCTCATCCCTTGAGGATGTGATATTTGTGATTATACTCCTTTGGCTTTAGACCTCTGTGTTAATATGTTTTGGAGATCACAAGGATATAAGCTTCAAAAATATCTCATAAATCAGTGACTGGAGGAATGAGAATTAAATGAATCATCCCTTGCAGAAGGCAATTATGATTTAATTGCTTATGTGTTCTGCACAGCTGGCACTTACTCGCTGTCCAGTTGGCGTAGGGATGTCTTCCTAGCCACTTGCTCAGTCAGACAGGTAGAGGGTACATGGAGAAGTTAGGACACAGATGTCTTGGGGGAGCTGCCTGCTTTAGTAGATACGGAGACTAGAGGAGACTAAAGAAGGGTATGTGGGAAACTGGATATCATTAATTCAGGTACGTGTGACATACCTGGCTTTCCAAAGAAGACTAAAACTAAAGTAATTCAGTAATAAGAATGACATATTTTCAGTTATTCCAACAGCTACTTTTTGTACCTCACAAATTTGCACAGTGAGATTAGACTGATACTAATTGCTTTACTTTGCCTCCAGACTCTTTATTTAAAAGATTATTTTAAAAAATTGAAACAAAGTTTTTGCTGTTTCCTTGTAGAAGTGTTGGTAAAGGTCATTGGACAGTAAAAAATCTTATTCGCTGGTCTCATCGAGTATAGCAGCCTATCTTTGTAGACAGGCATAGTGTAGTACAATAGGGTAAATCAATGTTTATTTGAACTATTACTATGTAATAATACACATGTTTCCGAATTATATAGTATGACATTCTGGAGAAAAATACAGTTGTTCTAAATCACAAATAAGGTTTAGTTAATACCATATTTTATATAGGTAAGAATAACATTCGTTTTGGATGTTGAGATCCTTGTTTGCTGTTGATGATGATCATCTGAGGGGTGGGGAAGTTCTTAATGCTTTTGTGAAAGTGCTGATTCAATCACTAATTGATTTTTCTCCTCTTTCCTCACGCCCATCTTTGTCTTACAGTTCTGGTGTAACACAGCAGCTTTCTTTGGCCATTAACGGTTTTCTGAGTTCTGCTTACAGTTGTCTCTTTTGTCCCATACCAATTCTCAAGTGGCTTTTCCAGGTAAGACTATGCTGTTCATGCAGTTATACTCTGTCCAGGTATAGTATTCTTCCTGGAAGCCAGTTGTAGCAGGAACAATTAGAAAAAGCTTGTGAATCTGTTCCATTAGGTTAACGGCTTTTAAATTAAAAAAAAATCTTTCTTTCTGGGTTCTGATTTGTTCTCCAGTCTGAAATGCTTTGATTGTCACTAGGGATAGCTTTTTCTACACACTTTCTGAGTGCCTGCTAAGCTGCATGTCCCTGTCCATCTTCATAAGTGTTACTGCATTTGAAAAGGGCACAGTACATGCTAGGTGAGAAGAGATTTTAAGATATAATTGTGTGGGCCAAATAACAAGCAAATGTTAGTCTTCTGTTGGCTCACATTATCAGAGAATTTTCATTTTTAAAAGGTCGATGTGCGTTACGGCTCAGGAGAAAGTCTGGAGCCATTCTCAAAGTGTGGTGGCTGTCTGCTTTCTAGAGATCTGTGTCCGTGTCTAAATCCCAAGGAATTTACATTGTTCTGTTACTCACAAGAGCGCGCCTCACCAACCTCCTTTGTATTATTACTTATCACATTCCAACTGTGCCTGAAACAAAAAAAGAAAGCTGGACTGCCTGTGAAATTACAGCCTGGATCAATTGACTGGCTTTCTGCTTTTGCCAAAAGGAAAACATTTTGCTCCTCCATGTCCTTCCCTCCAGCCAGTAAAAAAATTGCCTTCTACCCGCTGCGTGAGCCCTGGTGTTCTTCTAAGAAGGGGGAAGTGCGAGCCAATTCAGCTCGCTTACAGAGCAGGAAACGATCCAGCACTTGGGGGAGAAAAAGAAGAGTTTTTTTCTGGGCTGGTGAAATGCTCTGGGAAACCTGAACTGTGCTTCATAGTCTTTTTAGGTTTTTTTTTTGAAGTTGAGAGTGCTATGAAAAACTAAGAATGCATTGTTTTCGTTTAGTATTGCATGTGTTCAACTTGCCCGTGACTGGAAAAGGTTGTAGTTAGCTCTGTTGTCCCTGCTCACGATCAAGGAGTTCACTCTGATCACAAATTCGGGATACATGATATTTTCCATTCTCTTAACCCTTGGTACCTTCTTATGAGCCAACAGATTCAACATGGGGTTACAGAATTCTGGTATGGCAAATAATTCATTTTAAAGTATTAGTAGCATCTGTGCACTGCTTGAAATAATACATATTCACAGTATTCTGTTCTCCATGGTGCATCTTGCTTTAGAGGCTTTAGGGTTGTTTTTTTCTGTTACTGCTTCTTATTTTATTTTACCAAAGAGTTGGTTTGTTTTTTTAATTAAAAGGAAACTGATGCCATTATGCAACTTGATGTTCGACATGTGGCTTCTTTTCTCCCCACAGATGATGTCTGTGCATCCTGACTATTGTGTTTCCACACAGATTTTAGACAGATTGATGGAGATAACACTAAAAAATGGTGAGTACATGAAGGACAGAAAACTGACCACCTGAATGAAGGCATTTCCCAGCTGTTAAGTATAGAAAGCCATTGGAAAGGAATTAAAAGACGTTGGCTCTGTTCTGTGATTCTGGCATGAATTTATGCTCTTCTGTTGCTTACATAACACACAAATGCTAGGAGTTGGTCTGCATTGAGTGCATGCAAGCTGTGCCACAGGATGTGGTCCTGGCGTGTATTTGCAAAGCAGTGCATCCAGTACAGAGCATTTAAACTCACTTCTGTTATTTCACACATAGAATTGACCTGAAGAGGGGCCCAGTATGCTCAAAGATTTTTCTTCCCTTTACATCTTTTACGTTGGAAAGTGCAGACATTAATTTCATAGCTTAAGGGCTGAGAGATGTTTTTCACGTAGTCATACCCAATACGTAGCACTGCATAGTTTGCTTTCTAGATAAATGGCAAAAGTGAAAAGAATCACACATCTGAACAAAAACACTTTCAAGGATCTGCTTCAGCCCACACTGCTGCTCATGTCTTGTGTGTTTTGCCTTCTTTCATCTGTACTCTCCAATAGTTCTCTAGTACAAGTTCCTTTGTATGTTCTCCATGTCTTCACTGTATTCTGATCCATCAAAAGTCACTAATTCATTTAAGCCTGCCAGTTAACATCATTAAAGTAATACAGTTCTCTTGAAGTACTTGCTCGGACCTGTCCAAATTGTATCACATAATCTTGAATGTTATTTGAAATAGGACTGTGATATGAGAGGGCATGTACTGTCCTTTATTTTGTGCTTTGCTGGCATTAAGCTTTATTCTGAATGAACCGTTCAAGCTGGTCAGTGAGCATTCAAAGAATTAAGGCTAGGAGAGATCCCAGCAGATCTCTGACCTCGGAGCAGGATCAGATAGGCTGCAATTGCTCCTGGAAAGTTGTCTAACCAGTTTAAAATTGCCAACTGTGGAGTCTTTGAAACATTCTGAGACACCGTGTTCTAGTGCTTAACTAAGGATGCATCTTTTTTGTTGTTTTTTACTGAATTGAATATTGAGATCTGAACCTGCAGTGTCTTGAGTGTTATGTTCCATTATATTGGGGTGGTTTTTTTCTTACAAAGTTAGCCCTAAGACACATAATAGATCCGATTCAGAATTCTAGTGATTCCAGTCATTGTTTGGAAAATACTGTGTCTAGCTTGATGTTACCTTGCTAGTTTAGTGTCTTATAGAGAATCCTCTGTACAGTTTGCAGACTTTCAGATACAAGTCATCATACTAATCAGCCCTTTCTGCAATCAGCATCGTTTCTTATTTCTATCAAATAAGTGAATTCCATCTGTTCAGCACTTCTGTTCTAGAAACCTTGCTTGTTTTCAGATCTTGTTTAGCTCCACTTTGAGTCCCACCATAACACCTTCTTAGCTGTGCCTATGCAGAACAGTAATTTATGTATTCTCTTAAAAGTAAATATTATCTCCTTGTTTATTCTGCTGTTTGCGATGAGAGCGAGCTGTGAGGAAAAATGGGTGGAACTCTAAAGTAATTCACCTGTTACATAGGTAAGATGTTTCTCTAGTGTAAAATACTGTTAGACTATTCCCCCCACCATGATTCTGAAAATAAACATATCGTTCAGTGTACCAACTCTTCTGAGATGAGAGCTGCTAGAATTGATGCAGACTGCTGAGCTTATTTGTTTCCCTTAAAAGGAAGTAATGCTAAGAACTAAATTTAAAACTAATCCATTCCATGTCTTTTACTTGTAGCTTCCATCAGTGATGAACAGTCTAAACCATGGATTCCTTCACTAGCTGATGTGTCAGCTGTTTTTGTCAATATGGGTGTTGCGTTTAGATCTCTCTTTCCATTGCAGCATCTTCAGCCCAGCTTTAAAGAGTGTGATATTTTGTAAGTGTTTTCCTTTTGATATTTAATGCTTAGATCCTGTGAAAGCAAATCTTGTGCTTTGAACATAGAATCAGAAGGTTCTCCTTTATTCCCCTCCCTTCGATCAAGCCATACTCTTCTTTAAATTCTCAGCTTAGGTCTTAATAAAAGTAAGCCAGAACTTTAAGCAATGCCTGCCAGGTAAGGATTCAGCAAACCAGAGCATTGTCCTTTGTCCCACACCTTCCAGTGGAAGTTTACAAGAATTGTTGCCTAAATAGCTGGGTGGAATTGTAGGTAATTGGTTACAAGTTTAGATATGTGTGCTCTGTAACTGAGGGTTGTTTTGATTTGAAGGCATTTTGAAACATACAGGGTTTTCTTTTTCCTTCAGTTTTGTGCAAATAAGCCTTTGTGGGCTTTTGATTTATTGCTCAGATTAGTGTCTCTTTTATTAGAAGTCAGATGCAAGAAACAGTGAGTAAACAACAGTCAAGAGGAGACCTAACCTCTACCAGTCCAGCCTTCTCCAGTCTACCAGAAAACAATTTAATCAATGTGAGAAGTTGTAATCTGTTCCTGGGCATGTTTTGTGAGTAGGTGCTATGCTGGGGCTTCAGCTTAACAGTGGTAGAGATTGTTGCAGGCTTGTTGCATACTTTCGGGTTTCCTTTCTCTGTGACTTCCATTGGCGTCACTCACAACTGCACAGTTCTGCTGCCTCCCTTTTTCAGCTGTGGCACTGTATCAGATGTCTTTGCTCCCTCGTGTAGAAGAAACTATCCATTTCTGTGTTCCAGCAGAAATGAGGAGTTGATGTTGGGTGGAATGTTTTGTGCTGCCTCAGTGTGTTAGTGCAGCTCTTGGACGTATGCGATCAGTCCCTGTACAGCACGGGGTGAATGAGATGGGAGCTCATGGAGCGCAGGTGAAGCTGTGACTGACTCTTTGTGGAAGTGAGCTGTTAGACCCGTGTTAGTCCTGTGAGACTGTCACCGAAAATCCGGGAATAAAACCTCGTAACACCAATGTAGTGTTAAAAGGCAGGCATTCTTTATTGCAGCGCTGGATGCACGGGGGATAATTCCACCGAACATGTGTACCTCATACCTTTTTCGTATAGTTTATATAGATCAAAATATACATATTTATTAGGTTACATAACTTATCCCTTTCATAGTAAAATTAGTTCATTTTCATACACTCCTTCCACCCGCACTTGCGCAGTGCCTCCTAGTGGTGGTCATCGGAGGTCCCAAGATGAAGGCTCATCCTCTTCATCACAGTGTCTGCTGGTTGACCCCAGCTTCTACACATGCGCAGTCCTCTTCTGGCTCTTGTTAGGTCGCTGTAACTATGTCTCTGTAACTAGGTCGCCTTGACTGGCTCTAGGCGCCCGCTAACATCTCAGGTGGGAAACATGGGACTTTTTGTTTCAGTTAATTTAGACAATAGATAAAAACCACAAACACACCTGCAACCATAGTAATGCTATTCCTATTAAAAATCCCCCTTTACCGTTATTGTTTAACATTGATAATTACCTGGAAACCAAACTCTCTGTTGCTGGACCTAACGTCCAGATGGGCAGGGGCTATGCAAGGGACATAACTAGCAGCATGGTTTATGTTTATGGTTAACAGATTGCATCTCCTTGGTTACAAGACCATAGGCTGAATGGGTGCTGGTCACACTTTACAGCCTAGTTCTCTGTGATTGAAGGTCTTAAGGTGAAAATACTGATTTTATAACTGATTTCAGAGTTCTTTGTGGAAATATCTGAATCCTCCTAACATAGTTTCTTTAGAGATTTTTAACTATAAAATGACTTAGGTCAAGAGGAAGCACTCAGAGCATCTCCACTGGAGACAGAATACACATCTCTTGATTAATTTGTGTTCTCATTTACACACAGATCCCATATTGAAGTAACCCATGTGATAATACTTGGGTGGGGAAAAATCTCTTCATTTATGTTTTCAGTATTACTTGTGTATTTAGAAAGTCTGTCAGTCTTCAGTTAAATGAGGATTATCTGTGCAGTGGAGAAAGATTTTTCCGACTCCTGTAATGTCTGGGGAATGCTGCCATTGTTCAAAAGACGAGCCTACAGGAAAAAAAAAAAAAAAAAAAAAAAGGTGCAGTTACTGGGAGATCAGGAGATGTTAGTACACAAGTTTTGCAAGAGCATTATATCATTTGAGGTCATTTTAATGTGAGGCTGGAAAACTTAAGTTCTTGTCATACTTCAAAATAAACTCAACCAATTTCAGATTTTAATGATTTTTATTTATTGTAAAGTTTCTAGGTTTCTGTACAACGGTAATTCAAGGTGGATATACTGATCAAGAAATACTGCTGCTGCTTCTATTGCTATTTAAAATAAGCTTGGAGAAACAGTTAAAGCAAATTCCTTTGATAGATTTTCAGTGCCTTTTCATAAAGCTTCTGATAAGTGTAAAAGACTGGGATACAAAGGTAAGTTAATAAATCATTTTCTAGTACTAGATTTATGAAACTGCAACTTCATTTTCAGGAAACTTCTGAAGTTTTCATTTTTTTTCTTGACATAGTACAAAAATACTGCTTGAAAACATAATATGAATAAATTGGAAGCTTTGGATTTGTGTGAGATGTAGGAGGTGGGTGGGTATACCAAGAGGATTTTTGTCACATGACATTATGCTTTCCTATCCACTTCTGCAAGACGACCGTTGTATTGAACTTAATCTTACACTTACCAAAATAGCCATATGATTAAAATGGCTCTCTGGAAGAATGAAGGAATGATTGCACTAAGCTGATAAAATGTCATGAAAACCCATCTGATCTCAACTACCTGACTGTAAAATAGTATTTAGCAGACTTAACTACAGGTGCAATGAAATATCTGTATGCACATGATCTCTTATTAGCCCAATTACTTTTAATATTTATGTTGTGTATGTTTCTATGCAGTAGATGTGTACTCCTTTGCAAATAAAAAAAAAAATGCCCACCATATCTGTTTTTCAGTAATTTCCGGGATTTTTGTTGTTGTTCTTTTAAAGATGCCTGAGCTCTGCCTGGCGGTGAGTGAACTCTCCAGTCATCACCATAATCTCCTGTGGCTGGTTCAGCTGGTCCCTAGCTGGATAATACGTGGACGGTAATGACACTCTAACATCAGAATTATGTGGTATCATTAACAGCTAATTTGTGTTATTAACAGCTGATTTATTTGTATAAGCTCAAAGTCTGATAACTACAGTAGGTATTACATGGCGCTTTAAAAAAAAACATTAGTATTTGGGGTTTCTCGTACATTACAGATGCATGTGCAATTCTTATTGTGTATAGATAACTTCTTGATCACCTCTGCTGCAAAAAAATGTTATTTTACATTTTATGTGTATTTTCCTGGGCTGCAAACTTTCTGGTAGCCTATAGTAAAGAAAGACTCAACAACTTCAGATTCTGTCGGTGTCACCAACTCTAATTCTTGTCGGAATGAACAAAAATTTAATTTTGTTTGGGTGGTTCATGTCTGCTTTTAAGTATCAATCTGTTATGAGTTCTGTATCTTTGAAGTGAATTAATTGTAATGTATCTGAGTGAGGAGAATGAATTGGGTTCTCCATTTCAGACTTGGAGGCAAGCACCTGGCAGTGTTTACTTGTGCAGAAGAAAAGCTGCAATGAGATAAGGGAACTTACATTTTACTAGCCTCTTTACTAGTTTAATACAGACTACATTCAGAAAATCCAGTTTAATAGTTGTAGGCAACTTTATGTCTAGGGAAGCCGTGCATAGCCTCATGTACTTTGTAGAAACAGTGTGGATTTAAGAAATTGTCCGTGAAGGAAATTTTTTTAATTGTTTTTCAGGGAACTAAGAAGGCGTCTTAGCCTAGTGATAATTTCAAAGCTGCTTGATAAAAAGCATACAGGAATACCTGACTGCAGTGACAAGCAGGTACCGTATATGTGTTGTGTGTATATAATTTGGAAGTTTAGAAAACATGTATATTATTGTTTGTAATTGAATCTGTTTTGTGTTTTAATACTGTAAGCCTGTTTTCAAGAACTTTGTAAAATGACCAATTAGTAAATTTTTGTTTAGATTCATAATAGAAGTATATTTGCAGGTGTGTGTAACCTGCATGTTCTGCAGCTTTAAGAACAGTAATGTTTATGTGCCTCAACATTCATTCTGGACATTGGAAAGAGGTCTGCACTTGTTTCAGTCTTCTTTTGTGTTTATGTAGAGTCACTCTTTGTTTTTGTAGAGTTGATTTGATTCGAAGATCCGGTAGTAACCTAACAGTACAATGTATACTGTTAAGCACGTACCCTTTATTACGGCGCTGGGCACTCGGGGGATCTCTCCTCCAAATGTGCGTGCCAAACACCCTTTCATTTCAGGTTAAATACAATCATGATATGCATATTTGCTATATCTGAGAAATGCTTATCATAGTCATGGTTTTTCCAATAACTAATTAGCATATGTTTATGTCTTTTGTGCATGTCTGTTGGCACCTCCAGGTGGTTGTCGGGGGTCTTCAGGTGAAGGCTCGTACTCTTCATCACGGTGTCCACTGGTTCACCTCTGTTTCTGCGCAAACTCAATTCTAAGATCATGTGTAGCGTGTCCTTCCAGGTTGTTTTGTTCCGGTCTTGTTGTCCTCTTGGTGCCTCCTTATCTCTGTAGCTCGGCGCATCTGCTCTCCCAAGGCCGAGCTGTCTGGAGTGGCATTATTTGGGAGTCTCTTGTCCTACAGCTATCCCAGTTATCCACCGAGAACCAAGACTTGCTTTGGTTTTAATTAATCTGTTGTGTAATGGTTCTGATGACTGAAAGGGATAACTTATATCTACATCTGCTACATTCGCTGCGTTCACAGGTATCAATCCCTCCTTTTACTTTGAGGACTGTAGCTTACGTATTTTGAAACGGAGGTTAGTACAACAGTTAGAGCATTGGATCATTATGGATGCAAGAATACAAACTGTAAGAATAAAGACTGCTAACAACTAGGAAATGTCATTAAAGCTACTTTGTTATAGCTTCACTTTTCTTATGATCCCTTCTATCGGTCCTTCGTTTTCTTTGGACTTTTGTTCCTTTCAGGTCAGAAGTCTTAATAATCCTTAGATCACTTACACTTCCAACATAATTAATTACAGAAGTTGCAGTATTGAACCATTATACAAGCTAAGACAGATACATTTATTACCACAAGAACAAAGAAAAACAGGTTCTTCAACCAGGATAATTTTGGTAGACATGAGGTGAGCTAATTTCATATCTCTTCAAATCCACAGGAACTGTCATCTTTAGCTACTTCGTGTAATATTCTGGTTTATTTCCAAATTTCTTCTCGATCTGTGGATATTCTACCAATTTGGTCTACATATACACAACAGCTTGTGTTTGTGATTGTGCGAACACCACCTTGTGAGACTAGTAATGAATCGAGGGCCATCCTGTTTTGGATCACTACCTTTGATAGGCTAGATACTTCAGTTTGCAGGGCGTTTATGGCATCCGTGGTTCTGTTTTCGATGTTTTCTACTACTGCTGATATATTTACAATGGTCTTTTCTAATTCACTTAATCCAAGCCGTGGAAGGAACCACCTAGTGAAGCTGTGGAAGCTGTGAAAACCAGTAGGTCTTTCTGCAGTGGCCTTATGGGTCTTTTTAATTTGCCTAATAAAAGTTTTAACCCGTCCTTTCTGTTGATGTAACTTGTTAGTTATTGTGAGGTTGGAGACTATAGCTCCCAAAGTGCACACTCCTTTCCACCCTAAAGGCAGTAATTTTTGAGCTCGATTTCCGCATAGCCAATGCCATCCTGTTTTCTCAGAGCCTTTAGACACCAACCACCCAATTGTGAGTTTAGTTTTATTTGCCTTAAAAGCTGCTAGTAAGTGCTCGTCAAAACTACTTTTACCATCCACATCTATGGTAATATTATTCTTGCAATATGGGGTAGTGTCTTGTCTTGTAGCATTGCTGTGTACAGATATAATTGTACCATGCCTTGAGTTCCTCTATTTGAATTTATTGTTGGATAGTCGTGTTGGCTGATTGCCATTTCTGGTCTGCACTCATTCGTAAGCTGTCGGGGATTGGTATTCCTGTAAAAGTTACCTTGCTTTCTCCTGAAGTTGGCATTTGAATAGAAATCCAGCAATCATTTTTGTGTAGTATCTGAGTGATGTTTTGGACTAGGATTAGATGTAAATTCCTGTCGCACCGTTCTGTCCAACTAGTTGGACTCATGGCTACCATTATTACCCACAGAATCAAACTAATCATGGTCGTCTTGTTATTTTTATCTTCAGAGATGATTGTGGTTCTACACTCCAGGGAACAGAAGCTCTCTTGAATAATGAATCCAAGCTGGTTGTTCCTAAATCTTGACTGCAGTAAAAATAGTTAGCAGCACTTGATGAGGTCCGTTCCACTTCTCTCCAAGGGCATCACCTGAAAGAGTCTTAACAAAAACCCAGTCTCCGGGTTTGGTCATGTGTGTTGGTTGATTTAGACCCCTACCCCTTGTTCCTAAAACTAGTTTTTGAATATTACTTACCTGTTTTCCAGAAGCTATCAAATATTCCTGTAAGTACCCCTCCCCTATTTGCACCATATTCTCTCTTTGATATGACAATTGATAAAGTCTTCCAAACAGAATTTCAAATGGACTGATGCCCTTTTTGTTCCTGGGCTTTACTCTGATTCTTAGTAAAGCCAAGATTAGGGCTTTGTCCTAAGACAAGTTTGCCTCCTGAGTCATCTTCGCCATTTGTTGTTTAAGTGATTCATCTTTTCTACTTGGCCAGTTGCTTGTGGTCTGTAGGGGGTGTGTAGCTGCTAATTAATACCCAAAATTTTAGTGATTTGTTGTACTACTTGTGCACAAAAATGTGACTCTCTATCCAAGGATATGATTGCCAGCACTCCAAATTGTGGTACAATTTCATTTAACAGAACTCATACTACCTTCTGAGCCTTATTTGTTCTACAGGAAAAAGCCATCTGGAAAATGTGTCTGTTATAACTAATAAATAGCAGTACCCCACTTTTCGTGGGAGTTCCAAAAAAATCAGTTTGCCAGTGTTGTCCTAGTATGTTTCCCTTTCCGGTTTTCCCAAAGTTTACTTTGCATGTTGTATTCGGATTATTCCTCAGACAAATTTCACACACTTCAGTTGCTTGTTTTACAGTAGTATGCAGACTTTTCCTTACTATCCTCTTGTTTAAATCCTTATATAGGGCATCTGCTCCGCAGTGAGTCGTCTTATGCTCCTTTCTGACTACTTCCCATAATAAATTTAAAGGTATAACTATACGATTATCTGGCATTAAATACATCTTTTCTCGTTCACTTGCTTCCAAATCCTCTGTTAATTTCATATCCTCCTTTGAGTATTTAAACTACATTCCTACATCTGTGAGTTTACCATCTGGATCTAGTACCAAGGTTTTTATAAAATCTCTTTCTGCTGCCCTCCTAGCTTCTTGATCTGCCAGCTTATTTCCCAATTTCTGTTAAGTGTTACCCTTTTGATGCCCTCTGCAATGCATTATTGCTGCTTGCTCTGGTAAATTTATGGCCTCCAAAAGCTGGAAGACTTCTCTTGTATGCCTAATCTGTTTGCCTTGAGCTGTAAGCAGTCCTTATTTTTTCCACAGTGCCCCATGAGTATGGACGAGCCCAAAGGCATATTTGGAGTCTGTACAAATATTTATTTTCTTTCTTTTCCCTAATTCTAAGGTTCTGGTCGGAGCAATTATCTCTGCCTTTTGAGCAGATATATCTGCAGGTAAAGGTTCTGCTTCAATTACCTTGTATACTGTGGTTACTGCATACCCTGTTTTACAAGCCCCGTCTTTCATGAAGCTACTTTTATTGATGAACTAGGATTCCTCTGCACTTTCCAACAGTTTCCCCTTTAAATGGGGTCTGCTGGAATAGACTGCTTCAGTCATCTCCAAGCAGTCGTGCGTTAGTGGTTCCACAGTGCAGACTCTTTACTAAGAAAGGATGCTGGGTTCACAGTGTTAGCTGTCACAATATTAACATCATTTTTTTCCACTAAAATAGCCTGATACTTTAGGAATCGGGGTGGTGAGAGTCAATGGCCTCCTTTTTTCTCTAATACTGCAGAAACCGTGTGTGAGACTGACTGTCATTTTCTGGCCCATAGTAAACTTATAAGCTTATTGAATGTTAAGGACAACTGCTGCAACTGCTCGCAGACATCTGGGCCATCCTCTGCTTACCTCATCCAATTGCTTGGAGAAATATGCAGCTGCTCTCATGTAAGGCCCCAGTTGTTGAGCCAGCGCTCCCAGGGCAATGCCTTGTCTCTTGTGTGAAAATAGCCAAAAGGGTTTTGGAACACTTGGAAGTCCAAGAGCCGGGGCTCTCATAAGTTCCCTTTTTAGCTGTTCAAAAGCCCTTTTTGCCTCACCAGTCCAAATCAGCTGCCTGACATTGTCTTTCAACAGTTCATACAAGGGTTTCGCCATTAAACCGTAATTATATATCCATAGTCTACACCATCCTGTCATTCCTAGAAAGGTTCTGAGTTCTTTCACTATTTGTGATTTTGGAGACCAGCAGATGGCTTCTTTCCTCTCTCTTCCCAGTTCTCGATGTCCTCTTGAGATTTTGAGTCCAAGAAGAGTCACTTGTTGAGTCACCTGGGCTTTCTGTTGAGAGACTTGAAAACCATGAAGTCCCAGAAAATTGAGAAGGCTCACTGTCCGCTTATTGCAATCCCCCTCTGTTTCTGCAGCGATGAGGAGGTCATCCACATATTGTAACAAAGTCCCCTTTTGTGTCGGAGGATTCCATTTTTCAAGGTCCCAGGCTAGTTGATTTCCAAAGATGGTAGGGCTATTTTTAAAGCATTGGGGTAATGCTGTCCAGGTTAGTTGGGTCTTTCATCCAGAATCTGGATTTTCCCATTCAAAAGCGAACAGGTTCTGACTGTTTGTGGCCAGAAGTAAACAGAAAAAAGCATCTTTTGGATCCAGTACCGTAAACCATCCCTGGCTATCCTCCAGTTTAGTCAGCAAGATATTAGGGGTTAGCTGCTACTGGGTAGAGATCTTCCACGATTTTATTAATTGTCCTGAAGCCTTATACTAACCTATAACTTATCCCATCCGACTTCTTCACTGGCAAAATGGGGATGTTATATTCAGATTCACATTCTATTAATAACCCAAAATTTATGAAATTATCAATTATTTCCTTTATTCCTTTTCGGCCCTCTAACTTGAGGGGGCACTGTTTGACCTTAACTGGTTGAGCTCCAGATTTCAATTTTATTTCTGTTTGGTCTGCATTTTTGGCCCTGCCTGGGGTTTCCAAAGCCCGTACCCCTCGATACACTTGGTCTAGTATATCCTGAGGTACTCTGCCTTTTTCAATAGTTTAAATCAATGCCAAGCTCAGAATTTTGGTCAATTTAGTATTTTCAATTTCAAATTCTATTTGTCACTTACTGAAAGTTGTTGTGGCATTCAGCTGTTCCAATAAGTCTCGTCCTAGAAGGGACTTAAGGGCCCCAGGCATCTACAAAAATCTGTGTATTCCAATTTGCTTACCGAACTTTAATGGTTTTAGAAAATATGCCTTTTCCGATTGGCCTGTAGCACCCACAAAAGTTACAAAATCCTTATCGAAGGGCATCAGTTGCTTCAGAACTGAAAAGGACGTGCTGGTATCCACCAGAAATTCCACATTCTACTTCCCTAGCTTTATGTTAACCAGTGGATCCGCTATGGTGGATTCCCCAGGTCCCCCTCATTTACTGTTTTGCAATTCAGCAACTGTTCTGGGACGAGGTCCTTTTCCTCTTCGCGGACATTCTCTTTTCCAATGCCTGAATCCCTTGCAACGAGCACATTGATTGGCTCTCAGTGCCCCTCTGTCGCGATTTCTTTGTCCCTGTCCTAATGCTTCTTTGTTCTGTTGGGACAATGCAGCCACAGTGGCTGAAGCTATTATCCGACCCATTTTCTTTCTAGCGTCTTCATCCCTATTGCGATACACTCACCACGCCTCTTCTACAAGCTCTTCTAAGTTCCTTATATCTGGTTCTTTGAGTTTTTGCAACTTCTTCCTAATATCATTAGCAGACTGTTCTAAAAACAGAGATACCAGTTGTTGTCTAGCTGCATCTGATACCAGATCCATAGTAATGAATTTTCACACTGCTGATCTTAATCTATCCAAAAATTCTGTTGGGGTCTCTGTCCAGCCTTGTTTTACTTCATAGAAGGTGGACCGGTTTACTGCTTTTGGGATTCCGTGTTCCAGCCCATATCAAATCCAAGTACGGTATTGCTGTAACAATCGATACTGGGCTAGATCATTAGGGTCCCATCCTGGGTCTCTGAACGGAACATGCTGTTCCTCAGTCCTTTGTAAGGTACCTGCATTAATTTGTGACCTCTCATGATCCCTTGCTGTTTTTAACACAGTTCCGTTTTCAGCCTCTGTCATTGCCTCTAGCATCAAATCCACATCTTTCCAATCCGGATCCCAATTCTTAACTATGCATTCAAATACCCTGGCTGCCCTGCTATGCTCCTTTCCGTATCCCTTTACAGTTTCTTTGCATTTTTTCTGTCTTCCATTTGGAAGGGTATTCTTATCAGGGTTGGCCCTCCCGGCCCCATCACCTGTCTTAAAGGGGCTTGGATTATATGTCCTACCTTACTACGAGTGTAGGTGGTGGTGGGACTAGATCTGGGTCCGCTAGATGGGGCTCCTTCTTCATCAGAGGACTCATCCCCGTCTCTGCGGGCAGGGGTTCCCACAGCCAGCCCAGTATCGGGGGAGGGGTGGGGGGGTGCACGCCATAAAATCTTACATACACTCCTCCAGTTTCTTCTGATTCCCTTTTGTTTTCAGACATCTTTGCCCTATGCTGTGTGCAGAACAGCACCGCTTAAGTTTTCCCAGCTCCTTCCTTCTATCCCTTTCTAATGCCAACACCAGGGCATCCTGTGGGGCTGGATTTATACCACATTCCTTTTGCAGGGTGATTTTGTGAAGTGAAAAACGTATCGGTGTATGAGACCTCCTCCCATTTTCCTTCTCTTCTCAAAAACAGCGTTAGTTGTAACAAAGTGTTATAGTTCAGAGTTCCAATTCTCAGGCCACTTTTCCTCATCATCTAACTTATACAACGGCCACCATTGATTACAGTACTTAATTAGCATCCTTTTATTTACACTGCCTCCTGTGGGTCCCCCTGTTTCCTTCCAATGGTACAAAATACAGCCCAAAGGGCTCTTCTTCAGTACCTCTTTGCCCTGCGAAGTCTCCATTACTCTCCACGTCCCTCTGACAAACGACGTACAACAGATCATTTCTACACTTGGACAACTCCTTATAATGCCAGCAGCCCCAATACTTACCCTGATTACTTCCACTGAAATAAAATCTAACCAAACTTCCACACTTTAAGCACTGAGAAGCACTTACTGGACTGCAATTCTACACTTTTTACAAAGGCTGACCACTGGATTTCCTGCGCCTTAAGGACTGCATGCTGTCACCCTTAAGCTGTCCCATATAACTCTTCCCTGATTAGATTATATAATATGGAACATTTTTACAACACTCGAGACAAATACAACATGCTATTATGATTATCACCAGTGGTCTTCCATAAATAATGACAATGTGATAATCACTTAAAATCAACATTCACGATTTTCTTAGACTTCGTTCGTCTCCAGCTGCTTCCCTCACAAGAGAACAGACCTGTGGATCAGAACTTCACACTTGCTTCATACTTACTTGTACGTCTCATTCACACAGAGGCCTCACAGTCATACAATATTGACAGAATTGTCACAATCTGAATTGTTTACCAGAATCGTAGTCAATTTCCAGAATAATGGTATATATATCAGTGAAGACTGTGCCCAGTGGGAACTCAAACTCCTTTTAGTAGTGAGGACTCGAACCCCTTTCGTGTTATACCCTATGTATACCTTTAAGGTGCTAGCAGCGCAGTGTATTCTCTCTGCATAATCGATTACGACTTCTGGAGTCCCCAACCTTTGATCGATCCCAATGGCAGTAAAAGAATACCTGTACTCATGGATGGTCCTTGTCTGTTCCCGTGGTGATCCAGATAAGGTGAGGAGCCCCTTCGGGGAAAAAGCTCCCAAGGGGGTCCTGTTCTTACCGGATCCTGCAGCCGAACAGAGACAGTCCCATCTGGGGTGCCAATTGATTCAAAGATCTGGTAATAACCTAACAGTGCAGTGTGTACTGTTAAGCAGGTATCCTTTATTACGGCGCTGGGCGCACTCCTCCAAATGTGCGTGCCAAACACCCTTTCATTTCGGGTTAAATACAATCACGATATACATATTTGCTATATCTGAGAAATGCTTATCATAGTCATGGTTTTTCCAATAACTAATTAGCATATGTTAATGTCTTTTGTGCATGTCTGTTGGCACCTCTGGGTGGTCATCAGGAGTCTTCAGGTGAAGGCTTGTACTCTTCATCACGGTGTCCACTGGTTCACCTTTGTTTCTGCACGAACTCAATTCTAAGATCATGTGTAGCGTGTCCTTCCAGGTTGTTTTGTTCGGTCTTGTTGTCCTCTTGGTGCCTCTTTATCTCTGTAGCTCGGCGCATCTGCTCTCCCAAGGCCGAGCTGTCTGGAGTGGCATTATTTGGGAGTCTCTTGTCCTACAGCTATCCCAGTTATCCACCGAGAACCAAGACTTGCTTTGGTTTTAATTAATCTGTTGTGTAATGGTTCTGATGACTGAAAGGGATAACTTATATCTATATCTGCTACATTCACTGCGTTCACAGGTATCAATCCCTCCTTTTGAGGACTGTAGCTTGCATATTTTGAAACAGAGGTTAGTACAACAGAGCATTGGATCGTTATGGATGCAAGAATACAAACTGTAATAATAAAAACTGCTAACAACTAGAAAATGTCATTAAAGCTACTTTGTTATAGCTTCACTTTTCTTATGATCCCTTCTATAGTGATCTTGTAATGAGGCAATGTACAAGCACTTTAGTTCGTGAATAGTCAAAAATTACCCAGAGTGTGAAAACTTCCATTTTAATTAAAAATCCCTTTTATGTTTGTGTCATAGTGGACAAATAATAATGTGGTGGTACTCAGTTTCCAATTTTCCATTGCCAGTTAACCAGTCCAATTTGTTGATGTTTGTATCTGTAGATGTCTCTTCTGCATCAGTATCTGGTGGACATGAAACCCTCTAATCTGCTAAAGAGTATGAGAGAAGGACAGGAGCAGCAGAATGCCGATGGAGACCACCTTCATACAGAACTGGAACTGGAGGTATATAGCTGATGGTGCCTTTTTGCAGTTGTCTTTTTATGTATCTTCTACAATTTTGAGAATGTTTCTTTTCATTTCTGTTAACTCAGGAGAGTTCTGTACATGGAACTGTGTGTGCACTATTTTGTTGCTGCTCATCTATACAAGTTAAAATCTAATTCAGGTTCAATTTTTATTGTAGTCATGGAGGAAGGAAAGCAGCATGTGACAGAGGAAGCCGTGTTAGACTGTGTTACAAACAGGGAAATTGTCATGTTTTCTGCAGAGCTAAGTCACGTGGATGTCTTGAGTCCTGTCTTCTGTAATCAGAGGACCATCCTCCCTCCCTCCCTCCGATGTAATCAGTGAAAACTGTGTGATGCTGAGCCAGACCTTCACCTGCAGGCTTCATAAAGAGATTTATGGATATTATTAATCTTTTCTCATAAGCAAGTATTAGAAAGATTTCATATTTCCACCCATCCAGAAGTTGAATATTGGTTTGGTTATTTAAGTCTGTCATGAAATCTCTTAACAACTATTTTGATCTAGATGTAGATGATGGGAAAATAAAGCCAGCTGCTGAATTCATTTTCAGTGATTAAAAGTACAGAAGGTTTTGTAGGTTACTTGGGTAACTTAAAACAGTGTAATGCTGTTTTAAAATGTTTCTAATATATGAATATACTGTTTCAAATTACTTATTTAGGCAAATACGTAGACATAGTTGTCCATTGATGTGGCTGTTGGAGGAATCATTCCAGAAAGCAAAGATAGTGCTGTATCTAGATGTGAACAGTTACAACTGTGCTTTGACTGCTAAAGCTCTGTTGATTTCTCTCCAGGCATACTACCTAATCTACACCCTCCTTCATCTTGTCAGTGAAGCTAGTTTCTTCGATGTTATAAATTCTAATCAGAGGGTAAGTGACTTCAGTGGCTAGATCTTTAGATTTTAAAAGACTACTTATCATGCACTTTTGTTCTATTTTGGTAACAGCTATCACGTGACAGAAGGTCACCAGTGGATAATAGTACTGTGGGAAACTTTTGTTCTAGGGCAAAGTAAATGCAGAAGAGATTCTTCTGCGCTTGCTGCAGAGAAAGAAACCTCTTCTGCCTCTCTGCAAATGGAACTACCTCGAACTATAGCACTGTGGATCAGCAGACGTTTGTTTTGTTAATCGTTCTCAGAAAGTAACTGAAGATTAACTCAACAAAGAAATTCTAAGAAGTCCAATGATCCTATGAACTTTTGAAGTAGGGTTGAAATTTTTCGGTCTAGAAAAAAAACGCTTTGAAAACACCTGGTAAAATGTGTTCAAACACATCACGGTTTTCTGTGCTGGAGTGCAGCAAGTGAGAGCTAGGACTGTATCTCTTCTGTTCTCTGTAGTGATGGTTCCCTTGCACCATGTGATGTGGGCATATGTTAAGTGATACCTTCTGCTTAGCCTTTCAGCACTCCCATTCCCGGATATCTCTGCTGATTTGCTGCAAGTTGCTTGCTGCAAGGTGTTTGTGTACACCTTGTGCCCCATGGAATCACTCGTGGCTCTTAAGAAATCTGTCATATGGACTGTTTGAGGGAGGCAGAGCAGTAATGTTTGGTTACCTGTCAGGGCTTAAGTGTCTCAGTGTCCTTCCCAATGCAAAGTCATAATCAGAGTGTAATCTGGAAAAAAAATCATATTTAGTGAAGAAAATAATTATATTGTGATGATGTTTTGAGATTTGTTTTTTACAACTGTCTTCCTGAAGATTTGTGGAGAACTTGATCCCTCTTATATTTTTTTTACTGTCGCTGTATTAATGAAGAAAGAATCCATTATTCTCTGGCCTGTTAGCCATCAAGAGGCAAGAGGGGTATGGCTGAATATTGTACAGGCTAGGCTTTGTATAAAATCAGTATCACTGTTTCATTTGTGGCCCTCTTCCAGTTAGATGGGGTAAATTGTCATGCTCTTGAGATGCCAGCAAATGTTTATAAGTAGAATTTCAGGGTGTCTCACCTGTTCTGCAGAGTGGAGCCTCTTTGCAGCTGTTCAGTGAGGGACTGAAAATCAGAGTTTTATGAAGAAATTCTCAGAATATGAAAGATCTTGGGAGCCATTATCAAGGCATTATGAAGTTGCAAAACTGCTTTACAAAAGTAATCAGAAATTTAGAGATAAATAAAAGATCAGTGCATAAACCTTGGATATGTTTTACCTGCTCAGCCAGTTCCTACAAAAGAAAATGACCTGAGTCATCATTACTCAAAAGGTTATTTTTAGCTATTGGAACTTCAGAACTTTTTTCTGCTGGTAAAAGATCTGAGTGGCAGTGTGCTTGCTACTTTGGGGACAGAAAGGGTTTACAAATTAGCTAGTAGGAACTTTAAAATTTGTGATGTGTAGCTCTAGTATACTTTGAAACTATTTTTTAAAGTTCTTAGAACTGTTTTACCAGGTGCGTCTGATAAAGGATCTTATGGTCTTGTTTTCTTTCTGTTCCCCCTTTGTTGCTGTATATTTCTGAGAAAATTTCAAATTGAAGCATATAATTTTTAAATTGAAATAATATTTGAAACAAACTTTTAGTTTTGACATGGATGATTTAAATAGCTGTACACTTTTGTCTTTATTTAGCAACACTTACTGAAGCTTTGTGGTGCCTTAGATAAGCACATAAAATGTGATATTAGGGAAGATGCAAGGCTGTTTTATCGAACTAAGGTAAGACATGTACATTGGGGATTTTTTGTTTGTTTCAGGGTGGTTTTTAGTGTTCTTGATGTGTGCTGTTCCTTCATCCCAGCGCTGGAAATTGAAAGAGTTCCTCATGGTTTTGTTTTTTTTCTGGTTTCTCTGACTTCATCACGTCTTTGCATGTACATGAATATATGACCATTTTAATCCACTGAAAAATAGTCTTTTGCTAACAACAGGACTCTTAACAACTGTGAAATGTGAGCTTGTCTGCCTTTTAGCCAGGCATCTCCACTTCTGTACCCGCAGAGTTGCACGGTTTCATTTCCTGGCAGCCACTGATAGTTGACTCTACTTTTAAGAGCAGAGGCTGTGCGCAGGGCAGGATACAGAGAACTGAAAAACTAGCGTATCTTGCATGTGTCTCTGCTTTATTTTGAAATTAACGAGTTGGTTAAAAATGTTGTGGATTTAAGCCAACAGTGTATGTGATGTAGCATCAAGCTTGGATAATTGCCTTTCATTTGCTTTGTGGTATGGGGCTTGCTCATGATAGCCCTAATTTTGTACCTGTCATGCTTTGCATGCTGTCATAGCAAGCCAAATCAGATCAGTGATAAAGTGACCGACCTCGACTCTGGAAAGCCTCGGCTTCTTCAGGTTTTAAATCGGACATTGGCAGTTGTGTGCGTCCTCACCTCTCAATAAGATTTTTCTTTTTTATTTGGCCAGATTAGTAAAGCGTGGATCCTTTTGGCAAGTTAATGAATCTTGCCTTGGATTTTTGTGTCTTGGGTCACTTTCACTTTTGTTTTTATTGCCCTTACACCAAGAGGGGAAAATCTTACTTGGTGTTTCCCCATCACTTAATTTGTGTAATAGTACATTAACTTCCAGAGGATGCCACAGTGCTGGGTTTTAACACCGCACATGAAACAAATCTCAGTTCTGAATGGCTTGGATTAAACACCTGCTTGTGGTTGGTTATGAGAAAACCCCATGTTTATGTGTAAGGAATTTGTTTCAGAAGCAGACAGTGCTGCATAGTTGGCTTTTGTGATCGCAGTTGCAGGCACCCTTTTTAGGTACAGTCAGACTTGTGAAGCAAACCTAACCCACCGAAGGATGAGACGGGTGTTGGGAGGCCGGAGGCATGCATGCTGATTCCAGACGCTTAACGTGGGGAGTCACGTGCCTGTCGTGTTCATGGGGAGTACACGGCTTTGAATTCAGAGTCCCGAATTACAGCGATCTGGCTGGTGTTGAGGTGGTGATGCTTTGTGCTAGCTGTAAAATTGTTCCCTCCCAGTAAACCTTGGGTGTTGGGTTATCCAGGGTTTTAGGGATTTGGGGCGGGGGAGGAGACAGGGGACATGATTTTAGCTTTTTTTAACATAAATGGCTAAACTAATCAATCTGAATTTGCAGGTAAAAGACTTAGTTGCTAGGATATATGGCAAATGGCAAGACATGATACAAACCACTCGGCCTACTCAGGTACTGTAATGGAACCTTTTTCTCTCTTTTCATATGGCAGGGTGCATTTAACTCATTTTTCTTTGTTTAAAAATAGCATATTCTTTTAAAGATTTTTTTTTTTTCTTCATAAATGGCATAGCTGTGGAATGCACTTAGATGTATTGGACTAGATTTTAATTAAAATTCGGAACTTTGCTAGCTTCAATAAACCAAAGATTTCATCTCTATCCTTAAAACTGCTGCTTTCGTAAATGGCTTGCGTAATACGCTGAAATATTAGTACTGAGTCAAGTCACGGGACCTGTCTCTGATTATAGTTATTAGCAGATGCTTCCAAAAGGACGTTGGGGCAGGAACGCAATGATGCGCTTCCTGCTGTGGTCTGGCAGTGTGTGACTTCTGAGACTGCTTGAGTCCAAGGCTCTGTACACATGTGATGGCTCTTGATAGCTCCTCCCCCTTTGGAATACGTTGAATTTCGTGCTATGATTAGGAGAAGCCTTTCATGCTCTGTAAAAGGATGCAGTAGTAAATAATGTCAGGATTAATCTCTCATTGACATTTGCCTTCATGATACCTAGCTGGCCTTAGTGGAATAGGTGGATAATTTCTACTGATATCCAGAGTTCACAGCTGTTTCTTCCACTCTAGGGATGTAAGGTTTCTTTTGTACTGTGAGCAGACCAACCGTTTGAGTCCCGTCATACCGATCTGTATATACAAATATGGAATATAAAGCTACCTGTCTTGGAAAAGCTTAGCTTTCCAGTAATGTAGTATGTCACTTACACAGAATTTCTTACATAAAATTTCAATTATACATATATTTATTTATAATTATACGTACTATTAATAACTCCCAGCAATGTGCAAAAAAGACAAAATTTGTAGTGTGTGTGACATTTTTTGTTTTAGAGGGGGAAGGGAATTAGACGGTAGCACATGGCTGCACAAGCTACTTAGCAATTGATGGGAGTTGATAATGCTGCAGCTCTTTCAGAGTCATTTTTTGAGAGATACATGGGGCTGATTCACATCTGGGGAAACTGGCAAGTGTTTCTCAGTAAAATTTTGGGGACTTGCAACACGCTGTGGTGGTCTCAAGCTAAGCACTTGCCTACTGTGCTTTTCACTTCTATCATTGTTTTTTCTGACTTGTTTACTATTCTGTTTTTAATCTTTAGGGAAAACTGCATGACTTCTGGGAGCCAGATTCATGAAATCTTGCCTCATTCAGGGGAAAACCAGAAAAACTCTGAAACCAATGAAAGTGTAGAATGAATGGAGCTTCACCTTGGTTGGAACAGAAGGAATCAGTCACCTGAGTTAGAACTTCAGTTTGATTCGGGCAAATACTAGAAACACAAGGATCTAATTTGATTAACATTGCTTCTACTACAAATACTCTACTGAAAAATTGAAGTGGGTAAACTGAAAAAAACCCAGTTATTTCTATAGCCCTGTCTGAATTGGCTAGAAATATTTTATCATCTTGAAAGCTGAGGGAAGTTTTGTTGTTTCCATTGTTAATAACAAGATACCTTTGAAAACTGTACATACTGGTTTTCTTGCCAGCACACACCTGCAAGCGTTGTTTTAGGATGGCTGGGAAAGCACTGCCCTGGGACGTGGAACGTGAGTTCAGAAACGGTGTTAGACCTCCGCTGATGTGAGCAGGCGAGGAAGTGGTTCAGCACTGGGCTGAGTAACAGAATTGCCTGCGCGTGTTAATCTGCAAAGCAGAATTGGTATGACCCTCCAGTGTCTCTAAAATACAAAATACAGCGATTGCATGTGAACAAGTGACTGCTCTGGTGTTCACCTGAGAGTGGAAACAGAGCTTGAGAGTGGCTGTGCCCAAACAGGTTAGGTGGATGCTTGTTTGCTCTGTGGTTGTGTTTTATCAAATAAGAAAATGGAATTTGTTATTACAGTGGTGCATTCATTTTAACTTCCTCATCTTCAGACACTGATTTATTTATGCAGTGAATGTGACTACACAGGAAGCGTATCTATAGGACCAAGTTATAAATGAGATCTTATTACACCAGTAGTATTGTCGTCCTCCTCTTTAAGAAACAAGCATATCTATATTTGTGGCATCAGCACTTTCTCTAAATGGAGAAAATGCTATTCCTAAAATATCAGCTCCGTGGAGATTTGAGGAGGGGAGATGAGCTTTTGGCCCATGTATGTAAAAATGTGAAAGCCGTATGAGGTCCGAATTCCTGTGTGTGAAGTCTTGCCACACGCACACAATATGTACACAAAGCTCCTAGAGCTGTTTGACATAATCAAAGGAAGATGTGATCTCCTTTTGTGCTCTCTGTTCAGATGCCATCATTTAAATCTTACACTGTGGTTTGTCTGTAGGATGTGTGTGTATATATGAAGAGAAAATTAAGGTATTGTGTACAAGCACCAACTGGGACTCCCTTAACAAGTGAGATTTTTAATAATATTAACAAGTGCTTTTTATAATATTGTTTCCTTTTAATTTTTGTAGATTACCATGTCTTGTCTTGTATGATAAATTCCCTAAAACTTTCCAAGATGAGAATGTAAAGTAAGGCTGAAAAAAAAAAAGCCCAAACCCTTTAAATCTGAGTATGTATATTACATATAAAGGAACTGCTATCCAATGGGCACGTCTTACAAGGAAGGTATTTTATTTGCAAATTCATATTAAATGTTTTGTCTTTCATTTCAAGTGTTAGCGAGTTAGCCTAAGACTGCAGGGTCTCTGTGCCCTTCACAGGAAAATCAGCTTATCTTTGTTCAAACAAAAGTTATGCTTGTGGCATTGGGGGAGGGGGGAGGGGGGGAAGCAAATCCTTTTTTCTTTTTTAATCTCAACAGGTTATTTAAGAATTGGAAGAATCTACCTCAAAGGGTATCTTTGTTTGGCAATAGAACTGCTTTAGGCTAAAAAAAAAAAAAAGCATGGTGTTAATAGGTACGGCAATGCCATGCTTTGCTCTGCCTGTCTTTGGCAGTGCAGCAACCTTCCCTCTGGTAGCAGTTGCTTACTATGTTGGATATATTGTATGTAATTTTATTAGTGTTTATATTTTTTTCTCACTAATGTTGTATAAAGTTTTAAAAAAAATTGCAGAATATGTTTACTGTATGTAATGTGTATATATTTTTCTTACCATGTAAAGTTGAGGTTGCTGTGCTGTATATTTTGGAGAAGGAAAGGGGAGGGGTTTAGAGGAACAGCTTTTGTACTGCAGTTCAAAGCACATTGAAACTGCTGGCTTTTCTTTCCGGAACAAATAACCACTTTGATAGTTACTTTTATTTAATAGAACAATGAAAAAAATAAAACCATACATGCTTTTCTAATTAAATGTCCCTACACAAAGTGGGCATGCTTCAACTCTGTTTTGCAAAAAAATGGCTGCGGATCCTAGTTTGGTCTTAGAGCGTACGTTGCAGTTCTTGGGTTCGCAGCTGATTAGCTTACTATAAACGGAGAAGATCTTGAAGTAATTCTTAGCTCAGCCAGCCCTGTGTTTTCATGCTGAATGCCTGTGTATACATTCTGGCGTTTTCCCCCTCTCTCTCTCCCCCTCCTGCTTCGTCTGGCCGTTTCTCCCATCTGTTTTGTAGCCAAGTAGTAATTCCCCAGTTGCTTGAGTCTAGACGTGGGTTGGAGTGGAGCTCGGCAGCATCCTTACAGAGGTGATCCCAGAGCATGGCTGTGGAGCCTTTGCAAGGGACTGCTGAGCTGAGCGCTGCGCCAGGACTCCTGGAAATGCAGTGGCAAAGCTGATGCCAATGTCTTTTGCTGACTCATTTACTGGCCCCAAGCCAGAAGTTATATGCGTTGGGGAAGGTTGTTTGCACAGTAGATGTCTTAACTGCTTTGGTTGTCTTCAGATAAGCATTTTGCACTGAGGTTTATCTTTTGATATTATGTTGGTTGTATCAAGAACCATGTTAACTCATTTCATGTGAAATTAGGTGCACTTTATTGCAGTAATCACAGACAAAAAATTAAAGGCTGACTGTAAAATACACGGTTTGCTTTTTTTTTTTTTTTTATTTTTCGGAAAAGCCTCTGTATGGCTTCAACTTAAAGCCAGAAGCTTTCTTTTTTTAAGAAACCTGCCAGCAAAAGCATGTGCACATCTCATACTCTCACTGTTGAGTTGTGGGACTTGGTAATGGATGGGGACTTCAGAAGTGATTAACGACGTGCGGGTAGGTCTGGCTGAAGGTCAGGAGGACACGTCCGCTTCGTTGGGGCGGTGGCTGCAGGAACTCTCTGAAGTCCCCAGCGCTGATGGCTGAGCCGAGAGTGTCTTTGGGAAAAGCAGATGACTGGAGCAAACCTGTGAAGAGCGCGGATATTATCAGCGGAGCAGCAGGTGAGACTGCTTCGTGACAGGATTTTAGAGGTGGCGTTTCAATGTGGAAGAGGACGGGTTTTTAACAGCGAGGGATGGATGCTGCGGTGTTCATTCCCTGAGCCACCGACAAGCCAGGCCTGTCTCCATCAGACGTGCCCAGCAGCCAGCCCTGGGGCTTCGGAGGTGGGCACTGGGCACGTGGGCTTCGAGAGAGACTACGCTGTCTCTCGGAGATGCAAGCACCTACTTCTGGGTTGTCGGGTTGCAGAGAGGACCCTTCTGCTGACCCCGTCGCTAGCAGAAATACTTAAGCCACAGTGTTAACGCTGGTCTTGTGTGTTTGTGTTGTATATATTGCACAGCGTGGCTTGGGTTTGTCTTTTGTTTATTTTTTTCTCCACTGGCTTTTAGTGCTTGTGTGAGTGTCTGTTCCACTGGAAGGGGCAAATTGGAAAGGGTGCTGCTGGAGATTGCCCTCCTGCTGCTTCTGGGCACTCATTCCTTGGGCTCATGAGCTCTGGAGAGACTGCTTCTTCCCAAAGAACTTCCCAGTGGGAAACAGTGGCAGAGGGGCCGTTACTGGCGCTGGCTTCAGTGTCCCAGCAAAGGGAAAAGGCTCTGGGGCCACTCCGGGAACCAGCCTGGGGAGCAGGGGGGAGGCTTGAGGAGCCTGCAGGAGCCGAGGCAGCCGCTGCCGGATCCTCCCTTGGCGCCCAGAGAGGTCAGACAGTCTTCAGTGGATTTAGCTCATTCCTTGTGGTTTGAGTTATCAGAATGCTCTTCGCGACGTTCAAATTGCCGTTTTCCCGTCTTCCCCTCGGGCTGTGAAATACCTTGATGTTTTGCTTTGTGGATGTTTTGCCAGCTTTTCTGGTGGGGCCCCTTCTTATCTGCTGTTGAAAAGGGCTTTCAGTGCTGGGGAGCGGTGCGAGTTGCTGCCGGGGAGGATCCTAGGGAAAGTAAATTCCTCGAAGGGCTTTTCCTTGCAAAGCTGCTTTTAGTTTTGCCTGACTGCCGCTTTTCTCAGCCAGTGCTTCCTTGCCTTTGCAGGAGGAGTTTGAAAGGGAATATTTCATCTGGTATCAAAAGCAGGGCAGAGTGGTGAGAGAAGAAAAACATTCACATCTTCCCGTCTGGGTATTTTGGTCTGGGTGCTGAAAGCTGGTCCCCATACTTGCAGGCTGCTGGTTAAGTTGTATTTTCAGGTGACTTTTAAGCAGCGTTTGGATGTGTTGTAGTCTTCAGAACGCCGCCCCTGTCTCTGCATGCTGAGCTGCTGCTGCTGTTTCATCTCCTTCGGCTTCCCTGCCACCTCCCAGTTCCCTGTGGGAAGATCACAGGGGAGGGAATGGAAACTGGAATTGTTCCCTTGGCTGTCATCAAGGCGTCTTTGCCGTCAGCCCGGGGGGCGACCCGAGGCTTTCCAAGGCAGGTTTGGCCCGTATGGCGTGCAGGGGACGGCTGCTGGCCGCAGCACGCAGGGTCATTCTCACACACCCTTCTCCCAGAGCTTTCCTTCAGCTTGGTGTTCACCGCTGCAGCTGCCTGAAGCTGGGCGAGCAATGATTCTTCCCTCTCGCAGAGAAAAGCAGAAAGGGTAAATAGATTTTTTGCTGCTTTCATGCTACTGGGCAAGTCCTTCACCTGAGCGGGGAGTGCTGTGAGCTGGGGCTCAGCTTGCAGGCTCCACAACTTCGCCACCGGGTCTCGGGCTCTCTTCTCCCAAAGCCTGCTTGGAGGCGAAAGTCCTGGCTCTCGGAGCGCAGGCAGGAGCAGGGGGTCCCTTTCCTCTCTGGGCTGACCACCAGGCTGTGGTCAGAATAAAAATAACAGCTTAAAACTGCCAGGCTCGGCGGTGGGGA